GCCGCGCAGTGCAGCGGCGTCGGCGGTTGCCGTCTGTTGCTGGGTGACGACGGTGGCAAGCCCCCGTTCCAGCCCTGAAACGTGCTCCGTGAGTGTGGCCTGGGAGGAGAGAACGCCCGCAAGCTGCACCTGCATGTTATCCACCGTGTTGGCTAGCAGCTCGTGCTGCTGTTCCATGTGCTGGATGCGGGTCGTGGCAGCATCGGGCGGTTTAGAGGCCGATGCGAAGCGCTCGCCGAAGGTGTTGAGTTCGTGGGAGGCCACGCTGTATTCATCACCTGATGAGAGGATCTCGACGTCGACGACGTCACCTGGTACTTCGGCGGCTGTGGCAGCGTCGCCTTCGGTGTGGCCCCCACCTTCTGCCGCCGCCGTGCCAAGCCAGGGGTCGTGGCCACCTGGTCCTGGGGCGGCCGTCGGTTCAGCGGCTCCGTCCGTGCCGTGCGGGGGCGCAGAGGAGCTGCGGCCTGGGGCGCAGGGTGGCCTTGCGTGCGGCGTGGCGTCACGTTTCCCGCTGGAGGAGCGGTGGCGCTTGGCTGAAGGCTCCTCCTTGGGGGTCAGGAGCGGTGCGACGCCCTTGCCTTTGGGCGTGGCAGTCATGAGGTCGTGGAGGTAGGGGCTCTGGGCCGCTTTGGTGAGGAGTGTGCCGGTGGCGGGGCTAAAGCCGCCACCACCGGCTGGCGGCGTCACAGGCTCTGTGATGGTGGTAGGCGTGACGATGGTAACGTTGTCCCGCTTCGGCGCCACCTCAGCCAGCGGGGCCTCGGTGATGCTCCACGGGATGGGGCACCCCGCGACCTGCACCGTATAGGTGAGTGGGGGCCGATGAGCGCGCACTAAGGCAAACTGGGCCGCAGTGGCTGGGTCCCAGGCGGTGTGGTAGACCTCACAGTCCCATTTAACGGACGGGCCCGTGAGAGTCTTGGCGAGCTGGGTCAGCGTGGCGTGGCGTGCCGCAATGCCAGTGATGCGGTAGCGCGTCTTGGCGAGGGTAGCCTCGCAGCCGCGGATGCTGACAGCAGCGGCCTTGGCGACGTCGGACCCCCGCGGAACACGGATCCCCAGTAGGCCTGACTTGCCGTGCCTGACGACTCCCAGGGCCTTGAACTCCACCGACTTCTGGAACGCGTCTGCCATCGTGATGGGCTGGTCCTCAGGGAACCAAACGGTCTGATACTTGTCGGCGGTGGGCTCGTCTGCACCTACGTTGCTGAGGTCGTAGGTGGCACCGAGTTGCCCTGATCCCGCCAGGACCTTGTCGACCGCTTGGAGACTGACGCCGAAGGTGGCAGCCAGGGACCTCTTTCCGACGCCCGATCCAAACCTGCCTAGGCTTTTGCAGGGTTCGAGGATGGTGACGGCTTTAAAGTTGCCGTGGAAGAGGGCCTTGAAGGTGTCGTGGAGCTGACTATCGAGCTCCTGGCGGCGAGCGTCTTTCTTGGACTCCTTGTGCTTTTGGCGCGCCTTGTCCTGTGGAGCGGAGTCGCCTCGAAAAGGGCCCTTGGCGCGTGGACCACCGTTCACGGGGGCACCTCCCGAGAACTGGTCCTCGAAGGCCTGGTGCATGGAGGGGACTGCGGCAATGGCCTCGGTCTCGTGTATGGTCGCCCGAATCCAGCAGACGTGGTCGGCAGGGTCAATGGTGGCGACGGCTACCTTTTTCCGTGCAGGCGACCTCCTTGGTGCCCAGCTGGTACACGGTCACGGGGACGTGCGTGTGGACCACTTTGGGCGCCTTGGGGTGACGCTTCAGGACGGGAACGTCGAGCTCGGTACCGACGTAGTTGTCGTTTTTCGGGCCCATGACAACAATCGCGAGCTGACCCGTGGCTCGCTTGCGCTGCTCGAGGTGGTGTTGCAGCAGCCGTTCACCATTCTCGTAGTCGTGGAGGCTGATGCTGGGCTTGCACGTCTTGCCGTCGTCAGGCGAGGTGGGTTCGGCAAGGACAGGGACCTTCCAAAAGGCAGGGTCCAAGGCGATGAATTGGGTGTCCGCAGCCTGAAGACGTGCGGAACCCGCTGGTGGGTGCGATGTGTCACCGCCAGTGCGCTTAGGCTTGCTGCGCTGGTGATGATCGAGCGTGTAGCTAATCTGGTTGGCGGCGCACATGCGGATAAGGGCGCTGCCAAGCTTCTTCGTGTTGGACTTGTGCATGTCGTACATTGCCCGGAGCTCGTCCGCGTTCAGTTCAGCTAGCCCGTTGTAGGCGGCCGTGGGGCGGTCAGACCCCGCTTGCTTGAACGCTGCGATGCAGTCCTGCTTGCGTTGAAGGAGGGACCCTTCAGCAGCAGGGCGCGTAGGGCGGGAGCTCGGAGGCTGCTTAGAAGAGCGACGGCGCTCCGGCTTCTTGGGGGCCATTGCTGCGGGCACTCGGGTGTGGAGAGGTGACGCGAATCAGTAAGGTCCTGCTGGGGCCCCTCCGGTCTCGCGAGGCCTGGGAGTCTGACTCCGAGGCGGGGCGCTTCGCGTCGCGGCTGCGGTCTGAGTGCAGGGCACTCTCGAGCCGAGACTAGAGAAAGAGAAAGAGAGAGAGAGAGAGAGAGAGAGAGAGAGAGGCAGAGAGATAATAAGAGAGAAAGAGAAAGAGAGAGCGAGAGAACCAGAGGGAGAGAGAGAGAGAGAAGGATACATCTACATCTATATATATATAGAGAGAGAGAGAGAGAGAGAGAGAGAGAAAGAGAGAGAGAGAGAGAGGGAGAGAGACAGACCTGCATGAGCCGAGGAGTCTGCTCGCGGCCTGGGCTGGACGTGGCCAGAAAGGGTTCCTCCTGGTCGTTCCTCGGTTGGCCGTGCGGGCGATGCGCATGGCGACGGCTGGTGGAGGCAGGCAGACGACGGCGGCAGCGCAGAGGAGGCTGCGGGCCCCACGAGTGTACACCACCACCGCGTCGATTCCTCCTCGCGGCCAGGGCTGGCCGTGTCCAGAGGGGCCCCCTGGTCGTTCCTCGGTTGGCCCTGCGGGCGGTGCGTGTGGCGACCGCTGTGGAGGCAGGCAGACGACGGCGGCAGCGCAGAGGAGGATGCGAGCCTCAAGAGTGTACACTCGGGGAACCGTAAGACTCGAGTAAGCCGGAACACGAGTTTGCCGACGTTGTTTGACGTTGTTTGACGGTCTAGTTTTCGTGGGGTGTCTGCAGCGGGAGCTCGCGTCATATTTCAGATTGGGTTTCGTCATTTTCATGATGGCCCCGTCAGGCCAACCCGAGTCCCCCGTACCCCCCGTACCCGAGTTTTACGTTCACGTCGATTCCTCCTCTCTCCCCTACCCTCTGCTTTCTCGCCTCGCGATGGAGGTGGTGGTGGTGCAGATGTGTGGGCCCCGAAGAGGAGGCCACGGGGTGGCGGGTGTCGGGGCGAGCGGGCGGGCGGGAAGGCACAGCAGAGGGAAGGCAGCGGGCAAGGAGCAGGGGCGGCGGGGCGTCGGAGCTGCACTCCAGACATGCTCGCGCCGAGGAAGTCACGTCGTTTGTTTGTTTGCAGAATCGCAGCCCCAGTGCGCATCGAGGTCCCAGGGAATACCTGGATGCCGTTGACATGATGATCCACAACAGTTCTCATCGCCACAAGGAATCCGCGAAGTATGGTGCAAGCTTGCATTGGACTGGAGTCCAGTCGAATCTGACTTCGTGCGGCCCCCTGTGGGGCCGGCCTCCTGTGGGGTCGGCCTCCTGCGGGTCGGCTTCCTTGGCCGGACACGGCGCGCCTCGCCTCGCCTCGCCCTCCATTTTCGGTCTCTGGGGGCCCCGTCACCACACGGCTCGGGATGAAAAAACGGACTGCACAAATCATGACGTTGGACGTCTGGGCTGGGGGGGGGGGGAAGGGGGCGCTTGGCCCAGCGGGAGACACATCGACCCCAAGGTGCCGCCCACTCGTCGCCGATCTGGACTGGGGCGCCCTACCCTGCCTGGGCGCGTGCGACCTCCTCCTATCGGGATTCCATCGCCGATCCATCGGCGACGGGTCGCCAGTTCCAGGCCGCACGCTCCCCCCCCCCCCCCAGAGCCCCCCCCCCACATCAACCCCAGACCCTTGACGTCGAGATTTTGTATCGACGCGGACCGCCAGAGGTCTGGACCTCTTCCCCAGGACCGGCTCTTCAACCTGCGTCTTTCTTGGACGGCCCGGAGGCCCCGTTGTGGGGCGCCGGGGGGCAGAAAATACACCAAAAAACCATTTGTGATGATTTTATCATGGTGGGACGGGTCTTTGGACAGCGCAGCCCGCCCCCACCCCCAGCCAGGACCCCCACTCCCGACCTGTTGATCCAGAGTGTCCTGGGGCGGGGTGGGAGTGGTGTTTGCGGGTTCTCGGGGGCCAATGGACCCTCAACCACCACCACTCCCGCCCTGGGCAAGGACCCTCTGGACCACCAGGCCAGGAGTGGGGTTCCTGGTTGGGGGTGGAGCAGGAGGAGGAGGAGGAGGAGCAGGAGGAGGAGGAGGAGGAGGAGGAGGAGAAGGAGGGGGAGGAGGAGGAGGAGGAGGAGGAGGAGGAGGAGGAGGAGGAGGAGGAGGAGGAGGAGGAGGAGGATGAGGAGGGAGGAGGAGGAGGTTGGATGAGGAGGAGGAGGAGGAGGAGGAGAAGGAGGAGGAAGGGACTCTCAACCGCAACCCTCCAGCCAGAACCCCCTGGACCACCAGGCCGGGGGGAGTAGGGGTCCTGGCAGAGGTTTTGGAAGATGATCAATGGAGAGGAGGCTTGTTGTCACATTATTTCCAGATGTTGAGAACATGTTTAAAACATGCTTGAAGCAAGCAAAACAATGGTTGCAAGAGTTTTTCCCTAAAGAGCAGTTTAACACATCACATGCACATTTTGAATCCAATGATATGGCTATTAGAGTGTCCATTGTCATGGCATCCACAAGGCTGGGGGTGGGGGTGGTCTGTGCTGTCCTCAGGTCTGGGTCTCTGCGCTTCGCCTCGCGCACCGTCGCTCCTGCGCCTGCGCCCGCGCGTTCGGCCCGCGGCCTGCAGCGCCGCGAGCCTCGCAGGCCGGGGCGCCGACGGCGGAGCCCGCGGCGCCGCGGGCGGCGGCGCCACCGGGCCGCCGACCGCAGCAGCCGCAGCAGCGGCAACACCAGTCGCCGCCGCGGCGGCAGCAGCAGCAGCGGCAGTCTAGGCCTCCAGATTCAGCCACGCGCAGAGGGGGGTATAGGGGGAGGGGGGGAGCCTTTTAAGAAGGAGGCTGCTTCGCTGCTTCTCAGAAGGCGCAAGCCTTGTCTGTAGATGTGGGGTCGGCGCCCTCCAAGAAGCGGCCTCCTTCTAAGAAGCGTTCCCCCCTCCCCCTACCCCTTGTGCGCGCCGCCTAGGAGTAGCTGGGGTCGGAGGGTTGCGCCGCATCTCCGATGCATCGGCGATGCGGCGCGATGTGGAGCCCGATTTTCACCACGCCGTGCGCCGCTGCTTTTTCTGGCCGGCATGAAGGGAAGGGGGTCCTGGAGGAAAGGGGTCGGGACTTTTTTATTGAACCCCTGCTGATCACAAGCTTTATTGGGGAGGGTGGGAGGGGCCGACGTCGACGATGTATCGCCGACGCCTCGGTCGGCGATGCTGCGCGATCCTTCGACCCCATCTACTCAGACACCATTCTGGAGGCCTCAAGGCAAGTGCAGCCGCAGCCGCCGGCGTCCGCCGGGTCGGCCGCCGCGCCGGGCCCGGACGCGGCCTGGCCCAGACAGCTGGTGGTCCTCTCGTGCTCGCGCTGCTCCTCTGCCTCTGCGGCCTCTCCACGCGGATCCGGGGTCTCGCGGTCGGCTTCTTCTCGCATCGCGCCAGTCTCGAGGGCCACAGGCCTCGCCTGAGTCTGGCGAGGGACTCTGTCGTGGCATGCCCTGCTTGGAGGCCTGCGCTGCCTATTTTTCCTTCTCCTCTGGCAGCCCCTCTTCATGTCTCCGCCGTCGCGGCTCCTTCCCCTCCTGCTCCTCTGCTCGTCTTCTGTTCCTTGTATTCCACCCCCGTCCACCTCCCTGTGATTTGGGAGCCTTGGTCCTTGGCCGTCCCATGCCTGCGACGTAGTTCCCCACCTGGCAGGTTGGGGTCGTTCGATTTCAAGATTAGACCTCCCGGCCCGCCCACCCTGCATACGGCGGCCGCCAGATCCCCAGCTCTGCATACCGCGGCCACCAGATCCCCAGGTCCACCGAGTATCCCGCGAGACCGCCGCCTTGCCCCTTAGATGAATCCGACAGAGCCTGACAGAACTGAGCAGAATACCACACATCATATGAGGGCGTAACACAGCCAAACATCCCATACCATAACATACCCAAACATAGCATTGCACACGAAACCATAGCATAGCATACCATACCTATCACATGCTATAGCATTGCGTACCATGGCACATCATTCCACGACATAGCGAGACATACCATATTATACATTATCAGAACATATCACAACAACACCATAACATTACATGCCTTAGCATGTCATAGCATACCATCGCATACAACACCTTACCATCGCGTGCAGTAACAGAGCGGCACACACATATCATCTCATGACACCACACATCATTCCACACCATGCCATAGCACAACATACCACACCATATGACATCATTACATGGCAAAACGTGTCATACCAAAGCACAGCATCACCTCAGCGACCATTCCATATGGTGACAACACATACCATGACCGAGCGCGACATCACATAGCATAACGTCGCCTCGCATACTATATCATCATGCTATGTGTAATGCATCATTCCATACCGTATCATGGTATACCATACGTTAATATAAGGCGTCGTACCAGTGCATGCTATGCCAACGCTGGGCATACGCTGCAGCGTATAGCACCCAGCACCATCCCACATTATATCATATCATAGTGTACCATGGCATCGCCTCATCCTACCAGAACCATATCACGACACAACATATCATAACCTGGCGCACCATCACAGTCCAGCCCAGGTCATACCTGACACACCATCAAATCATCACATCCCATACCATCACTCAGGTACCATATGCTCGCACATCCGAACGTTCCTTGTCTTGACGGAACAGAGCATACCATAACGCAGTATCGTTCATAACGGGGCATCGCGATGCACATCACGACGTAGGGGAGCATCGAAGGGTACACTATGACACATCATAACTGAATCGAAGACGCCTACGGCGAATCACCGCCGCCCCCTGTTTTTTTTGGAAGCGCCTATATGGCCGAACGTTGAGGCCAGACCTGCCAAGCTATCGGACCATGTGTTCCCCGAATCGGTTTGGAAAGCCTTCGGGGAACACGTCTTGGGCCGTCTTGGAGGCCATCTTGAGCGTCTTGGAGGCCTCTTAGGCCGTCTTGGGGGCCTCTTGGGGCCGTGTCTTGGGCCTCTTGGGCGATCTTTGGGGTCACTTGGGCCGTCTCGGGCCGTCGGAAGGCAGAAACAAACTACATGCCACAATCCTTCAAAAACCCATGGGACATTACGGATTTTTGCCTTTTCGGGCCTTCCTGGGGGCCCTCTTGGAGGCCTCTTGGGCCGTCTTGGGCCATCTTAGGGCCATGTTCGGGCGTCTTGGTGGGCTCCTGGTTCGCCTGACGCCGTCGGAAGCCGTTTGGGGGGCCTCTATGGGCCGATTTGGGGCCCTCTTGGAATGCTCCAGGGCCGTCTTGGAGGCCATCTTGGGCGTTTTAAATGCCTCCTGTGCCGTCTTGGGGGCCATCTTGGGGCCGTCTCGGGGCCGTCTTGGGGCCCTCTTGGGCCGTTCTGGGGTCATCTTGGAGGCCTCTTGGGCGATCTTTCGGCGATCTTTGGGGGCTCTTGGGCCGTCTCGGGCCGTCGGAAGGCCGAAAAGAAGCAAATGTCAAACACCTTAGGAACATCAATGTTTTTGGCCTCTTCTGGCCTTCCTGGAGGCCTCTTGGGGGCCTCTTGGGCCGTCTTGGGCCAGCTTCGAGCCAACTTCGGCCATCTTGGTGGGTTCCTGGCACGTCTGACGCGCCGTCGGGAGCCGTCTTGGGGGCCTTTCTGGGCCGACTTGGGGCCCTCTTGGGGCGCTTCGGGGCCGCCTTGGAGGCCATCTTGGGCGTCTTGGAGGCCATCTTGGGCGTGTTGGAGGCCTCTTGGGCCGTCTTGGGGCCCTCTTGGGGCCGTCTTGGAGGCCACTTGGGCCGTCATGGGGCCCTCTTGGGGGCCTCTTGGGCCGTCTTGAGCCGTCGGAATGCCGAGAAGAAGCACATGCAGAGAAGACGCAAATGCCGGGAAAACCAATGATTTTGCCTGTTCGGGCCCTCCTGGAGGACCTCTTGGAGGCCTCTTGGGTCGTCTTGGGCCGTCTTGGAGGCTTCTTGGGCGACCTTGAAGGTATCTTGGTCTCTTTTGGGTCGTCTTGGAGGCCGTCTTGGACCATCTTGGGCGGACTTGGCGGCCATCTTGGACCATCTTGGAGGCCATCTTGGGCCAACGTGACCATCTTGGAGGCCATCTTGAACCTTCTTGGAGGATTTTTTCCCGGATTGAGCTCCTTGAGATCCTTTCCGGGTGGCCGGCGGGACGGGCCGAAGCCCCAGGGGGAGTTTTTTTGAACAAAGAACCAACACCAAAAGCGATATCGTTCGGCACGCCAGGCACCCCTTTGATACATCAATCAATCAAAAGGGGGCGGCGGCCTTCGGCTAATCCCGCCACCGTGCTTGGGTTGTGGGTCAGAGTTCTCAGGGATGCTTCTTGGGGTCTCTTCGGAGCGCTCTTGGGGGCCTCTTGGTGGCAGTTTTAGGACCTCTTGGTCGCCTTTTGGGGCCCTCTTGGGGACCTGTTGGGGCCTCTTGGGGGCCTCCTGGGGCCTCTTGGGGGCCTCTCGGCCTCTTGGGGCCTCCTGGGGTCCCCTCGGGGCCGAAGGCTCGAGACGTTAGTTCGGGTCCCCCATCTGGGCCCCCCTCTTGGCGCCGTCTTTGGGGCCTCTTGGGCTGTCTTGGAATTCTCTTGGGCCGTCTTGGGGCTCTCTTGGGCCGTTTTGGAGCCCTCTGGGGCCGTCTTTGGGCGGTCCTGGGGGCCTTTGGGGGCGCGGGAGCTTGAAAAATCGAGAGCGCCCAACTCATTGAACAACCGATTCTTCATTGAACGTATTTAGTAGTGATTCTTTATCAATGGCTTCCCAGCAAGGGTTCTTTGACAATGATTCCTTAGTGGTGATTTTTCATTCACGGTTCCAGAGTAAGGATTCTTTACTAACGGTTCATTAGCAAGGATTATTTGCTAACGGCTCCGCAGTAATGGGGATCTTCACCAAGGGTTCCTTGGTAAGGATTTTTTCACTGATGGTTCCTTAGTAAGATTTTTTCAAATGGCAAAGGGTGTATGGATGATTTCCTCAGAAAGGATCATGTGGTACGGTTCCTTCAGTAAGGATGATGTCTTCACGGTTGCGTTAGTAAGGGTACTTTTCCGTTGGTTCGGACTCTTTTTTTGTAGCTTCCCGCCAGAGGGATTCTTTATCAAGGGTCCTTTGATGAGAATTATCCACTACGGGTTCTTTTGTACATATTATGTACCCGTGGTTCCTTAGTACGTATTGTTTTCGAAAGGTTCTTTAGTCCAGGGTTCTTTTTTTTTTCAGATTGTCGCAGTACGAATTCTGCATTCAGGGTTCTTCAGTTGTTTTTGCCAAGGCTTTCATGTTCTGGGCTAACTAGAGGCCGAGCTTGCGTGGGGACGACCAGGAAACAAAACACAACAAACAACACATCCACCAGAGGCCGGTGCGAGGCGATGCGGTGCTCCGCCCCTTTCCAGAGGGGGCGTCAGAAACCCGGCGCACCTCCTGAGGGAAGCGACGGGGAAGCACGCTTCGTTGGATGGGGCTCAGGGAGTTGGCGTTCAATTACTGTTGGTTTTCCTCACCGCATGCGCCATATACCCCTGGAGCTTACGGCATGTCCACAGCACTAGATAGCGCTGGATGTGGTTTTGTTTACAGCGCTGGATAGCACAGCGATGGGCACAGCTCTGTCTTGTGGTAATCATGGCATTCCCACAGCACTGGACAGCTTTTCCGTCGCGTTTTTATGGGTAGAGGATGTTTGTTTGTTATGTTTTGCTTTGTGTGTAATTTTACCCACGCATTGTCTTATGATCGATAGTTCTGTCCAGAGGCGCAAGGAATGGCTCCTGGAATTTCAGAGTGCGAGGAAGCGGTTTGGCTGGAAGTCGGCGCAGGTCTTCGGGTCTCAGTCCCGACCGCACCTGGAGCAACCGCTGCTGGGCCTGCACCCGAACATCGCTGGCCCCCAGGGGTGGATGGATTCTCCTCCTCCTAGTCCTCCCTCCTACCCTTCCTCCTCCTCTTCATGCTGCTCTTTCCCCTCGTATTTCTCATCGTCTTCCTCCTCCTCCTTCTCCTCTTCTTCGGTCGCAAATCATGAGGGCGTTGTGTGCCTTCGAAATTCCATTCGGTCTTTGGCCAGCGCTGCCCAGGAACACCTGAGCAACAGAGACAACCGGGCTCGACTGCGAGGACATTCGCGCGAGATGCTTCCTGCGGCAGATGGTGCGCAAACGCCCTGGTTTCCAATTCAGCGTGCCGCTGTAGCGTTGTAATGCTGCTCCAAGGCAAACTCGGCCCTCGGGGAAAAAAGTTCCAAGTTCAAAAAAAGTTCCGTTTAAGTTCAAAAAAAGTTCCGTTTAAGTTCAAAAAAAAGTTCCGTTTAAGTTTATTTTTTGATTTATTTCA